GATTAGCCTGATGAGCTCAGATTTCAGATCTGTTCCGCAAGACATACTTTAAGAAGTCTCTCTCCAATTTAAGTTCTAGGGGGAAAAAAGGCAGTGAATTCTCAAACGTATCACAACAGAGAAATAAAGCTCCTGCTAAAAAAAAAGGAAACCCACAAGTAAGAGGCGTTAAGGTTGTGACAAATGAAAACAGTAAAAGCACGAAGAAGCATTCGGAAAGCTCCCCCAGTAATACTCTACTATGATCATAGGAGTTTGCCAAGTGGCATCGCAAGCTCACATTCAGGTTTTTACTGATGTAAGCCGTTCTGTTTAGGCCAGTAGGACCGTGCATGTGAGCAACCTGCCAGGGGTGTTTTCAGCTAAGACTTCACGGTCTAATCCCACAGATCCAGGTAGGAGGCTAATTAGTCAGAGCTTTTTTCCTGTTGTTCACAGGGTGAACGCTCTCCTGACTTACCCCTGATGCTCAAACTGAGACATCTCACAGGAGAGAGGAAGGGCAGACATAAAGATCACAGTGTGGGAAAGGGACCTTGAAAAACACAGTACAAGGAAAGCATTTTTCACGCTCACGCAGCTAAGATCACTTCTACTGGAAAAATCCACCCTTGCCGTAGGCTAATATTTGGCATACAGTGAGCATAGCCCTGAACAAGGAGGTCTCAACTGTGATGCACAGCAGGAACCGATCCCTTGATGCTCTCAGACAAGGCAAGCGTGTGACCCGCAACGGTGGGGAGGGGAACAGCAAGCTCCTTTTTGTGCTTGCTTTCTTGTAATTCACCAGCAGCTCTGCTCTGTATTAATCCTACTTTGCAAATGCTCCACAACACAAATAGGCAGTTAAAAAAACTCAAGTGGTTTCAGAAACTGCCTATATATGCTCAACACCCAGTTTTCAGGCCACCTGCCCTGCTGGTGCTAATGATGTGACAGCAGTTCTCCTGTGGAGCAAATTCCTTATAAATATGGATTTACAAAACTGAAATGCCTGCGTAATAAAGACAGCTGAGAGATACAAGCCCACAAGCAGGATCACATTTAAGACCGGTTGCAAAATGTGACCAAACTGACAGCATATAACTCTGCTTAATGGCTTTATAAATCTCAAATATAAGGAATATGCACTTAAAGAATACAGGAGAGGATAAAAGTAGCATTAAAAACCACAAATAAAACGAAGTCACAGATACATAAATACGATGTTTTATTTTTGCACTACATCTTCAGGCTGCATAAATAATTGCACGCATACTCTGCGGCTACACTAAGTCACTGTGACAACTATGACCTTATTGTGGCAACAAAATACCAAGAAATCCCCTGAGATTTAGCAACATCTTCTGACAGCACAATCCTGCAGCTGTCTCCACAAGCAATTAAATGAAAATGCTGCACTGATTCCTGCTATATTCCAAAGGGCTGCACC